TATTATTATTTTATTACTGATGCCTTGTTTAAGGATATTGTCCCTAGCTCACACTACGTAGATTCGGATGGTAGGATGGCCAATGAACTGGAAAATAATGTGGAAGGAAGCTGTCGTGTCATAATTAGAGGAATCATCCCGACATGTGCTTGGATGGACTGAACAAAACCACGAGAAACCTCAGTGGGGATATCCGTTTCCGGGCCGAGATTCTACCTCGGTTCCTTCCGAATACAAATAACAAATATTATCGGATGATGCAACTCGCTGGTGATTTTCGTATTCTAAATGAGGGTGTTGGTACGCACTGCAACCGGTTTTATCGCTGGAGATTCCAGAGTTATTCTTCTTCATTTCACATCTTCATCCGTGGAGATGTCGCTGAGAATAACGGCTTTCGAAATCACATACTCGTAAAGTACACTGGCCATACCGCGTCAGGTATAGACCATTTTTGGAACATGCGACGGGAATGAACACAAAAGTGCCTCCTTAAATACTTTAATTGCAGCTGTAAATATATCTACTGCATGCTTTAATTTTAAATAATTAATGGCATAGCATTTCTTCCACTGAATTTGTTTGTGGATTTCATTCTGTCATAAAAACTAATAGTGATTGATTTATAAACAGCACTGACTTTTTAAGGAAATTCCATGAGATTTTTGGAGGTTTGAACCAAAATTTAGAGCAGTATTTGGGAAAGATTCTCCTTATATTGTGTTTAAGGGGCCAGAGACAATTTTGGTAGATTCTATCGGTAACTGAGATGTTCCCGGAGCCCCAGAGGGGTCAAAATGAATGTTAGAGAAGCCATTCTGTTTTAATGTTCTCCCATAATGTCTACACCTACTTATCCATCTTCCGTCATAATCTTCTTTCAAAATTCCTTTACGGCTCCACCCAAATGTGGAGGTTCTAACGTGACTTCTCGAATTACCATGGCTACTGAACTCCGCAATATGAGCATACACGTATATTGAAGTAAAGTAAGAAGTAAAGTAAAGAATGAAATAGCCCTCAAATTCCACTATGCTATAAGCCGGAAGGTGGTGAGTTCAATACCGGATGAGATCATTGGATTTTTCAATTGACCTAATCCTTCCAGCCGCACTATGGCCCTGGGGTCGACTCATTCTCTAACAGAAATGAGTGCCAGGAATCTTCCTGGGGATTAAAGGGCGGCCTGCATGTAAGGCTGCCAATCTCACCGCCATCTAAGAGGCGATTGTCTCGAAAAGTGTGAGCCTCAACGTCTCAAATCTCTATAGGCCTCCATGTCCTGTTATATGTTTACCGTACATTGTTAAGCCTCAGAGTCGACGAATTTCGATAATCATCTTTACCATTACTTCGGGACTTTTCGACTGGCATGCCAACCACTGAATTTGTATACCTGCTGTCAAGGTACTTGTGTGTAAATATTTTATTTAATTGAGTTCATTAACTTCAAAATATTGGAATAATTTTATATAATTGAGCATTTAATGTTGAAGTAATACGTACGTACATGTATATTCTGTCAGATGACTTAGTTTTTATAATTATGGTTCACACGTTCGTCTGTGTCCTTGAAATATATCCGGGGTATATTTCAAATTCACAGTTCTGCTCACTTTCATTGCCAATTTAAGTGATGATAGAACAATTTCTAATGACCTAAAAATAATTTTTCACCTTTTCGTTAAATTGATAATTATTCAATTTTTCGAAATTTTCTTGTTGGTGGTGAATTATTTTGTTCAATTCTACAACTTAGAAAGAGACGTAAATTTATTTTCCTTAACTTGTCTTGCGAACAAATGCAATTTGAAAGTCTGTACCTCTCTACTCGTTTCAAGAGGTCTTTTCCCTGAAGAATTTTATTTAAGTGGATTAAATACGAGTATTTCAAAAGGTCGATCAGCAATGACAAGTAAGTAGGACTTCACCTCTGTTCAGGTATCAAACAATGGAGTGGTATGTTACGTTTGTATACTCAGCATCCGGAACTTTCGCAGGACATATATTGCCTGAATTTCAAACCTCATGAAATTCTGAATTTCGTAATCGTGCTTGTCAAACAGTTCTTACTTAAAGTTTGGAAGGACATCCCTTGTTGAATAATACAGTGAAAAAAAAATCAGATTTTGAAGCGTTCCATGCATAATATCTTGCCTTCTTCAGGAAATCTGGGTTTTATACGTCACATTCAGTGATAAAATGTATCTCTGGCCTTGCCTATTAATTGTTTCTTCATAGCTTATGTCTTTCAAGATTTGGAGATAGCCTTTCATAGAAGACCTCAACAACTGGTGTATTTTTCAAAATTTCCATTGAAATTAATTAATTTATGACATGGAACCTATCACTGATACCTTCTATAAACATCAATAATTGAATTGTGTTCTTTGCGTATCGTTTAACCGTGTTAACGAAGCACTGTTCCTTTCTTGCGTGAGACATACAATTATTCTACTGAATAAACATATTTTCACGTATAGGGGGATACAAGTGACGAAAATAACGGGTTCTATATCGGATGATTGGATTTATTCACACCTTCGTTTACAATCACTCTTATGTATATGCAATACAGAGCTATCACTGATTTGCACACTTCCCAGTTCACCACTGCACACACACTAGGATTCTCAGTTTCTAGTAGTCGTCTCCTGGCAACGGTTCTCAACACAGAAATTATCATGTCAAATCACTACGAAGTTTTCTTGCCATTGCCGATTCTCCATAACTCGAGCCAATTTTCCAGTTCTATCTCCAGTCTCTCTGGTCTTGAGGTTGTACTGATCTTTACTCAACTAGTTTCCTCTCAGCTGCACGAACCATGCAGAAAACACAGCACTCATACTGTTGCGTAGCGCGGATCAATAGAAAACACTTCTACCGTATTGTTGCGTGGCGAGTGTGTTGGAAATTATTTATCGAGCTGTTGCCTAGCAATGCTTTAATCAAATCCGTTACAGTAAATTTTCGAATGTCCCTCTATTTTCTGAGCAAAATTCCCCCAGAAATCATGTACTGCTTCATAGATTCACTTTTCGATAAATGTCTATTGTGTTTAGCTATTTTACATGACACTAAAATGCTTGCTTGAGTCGCTGTTTTCTGCGCCCTGTTGTAGGATCTAAAAAACACTTAAGTGAGCACCAACACTTTGGCTTTTCCCGTTCCTGCATAAGAAGATAAAATGTAACTATATCAAAGGTATGTCTTCTGTGTTGCAATGCCGTATAGCTCGGAGATAGCCCGACGTTACAGCAGTAGAAATGAAGTGGCATTTGAGAACTGAATAGGGAGATGATGTCGCCGCAAACCAGATAGACCCTGAAACGTGAAGAAACGTTGTTCTTCTGACTCTCTGCTAAACACTATAAACATGTTCCTGTGCTCAACTAATTAAGCACTACACCGTGAAGGCGTATGGGAGAGTGGATGTATAGATCAAAATTTTCTTGACCTCGGCAGTAGCTGGAGGTGGGTGGTCAGCTTCACACCTCAGCTGCTTTACCCCTAGAGAAAGAACCTCCAATACCCATTGGATATGAGGTTAGGTGGAGCCCAGAGCCGGTCTGGACGATGTGGAGAAGAAAAGATCCTTGACTCTACCGGGACTCGAACTCCGACCCCTCCATCGTCCAGCTCGTAGCTAGTCGTTGCTAAATACTGTGCCCTAACTATTTTCTTACACTTTTGCATTTATTCAAGAGTGACAATTATTCGCATATATTATTAATAGAATATTTACTCTACATCACCCCATTCAGTAGATACTTATGCCGAACCATTTATTTCGCCGAACAATAACGTTCAACTGACTACAAAGAACTGCTAATCTCGCTCTCCTTAAACAAATGAGCCACCCTGAGAATATACCCATATCCCCATTCTGCCAGCGTTAATTGTTGACTGCTAACATTCGGTCTTTGCCAAATGAATTTCACCTACACGTGGAGTGCAACGGTGGGAAGGTGCAGTATCTCGCATGTCAAAGTGACGTCTTGTGTGCATTTGCTCAGGTATCGGAACGTTGACACTTTACACTGCTTTTGCCTTCACCTTACGTGGTACATATAGTTCGTGTTGATTCAGACATTCACTTCACACTTCAGGTTCTCGGCTCTTTTTAAGTTATAGTAAATGTTACATGTTACAGGCAAAACTCTCGAACTAGCTCCAAGCGGCAGAACAGAACCTGAGGGCTGTAGTTTGCCTGTCCTGGTCTGTATCATATCTTATGACCTTTCCCACTGCAGCAATGCGAGTATACTATAAGAAATGCAAATAAAATTAGACCATCAGGCAGAATCGTGAACAGAATTTGTGCAAGTTTTTGTTTCCGTATTGTACAAATAAACGACACGTCTTTGCTTCTGTGACTCACACTGATTCAACCCCAATTACTCCCTCGGAACGTACAGTGACTTATTTTAAGTGTAATAACAAACTTACTTCAAAAGTTAGAACTGCTGCCAGAAGTTTAAGCCGAACAAAGAAATCAGCTCACAATTAAAAAGCCAACTTCACAGTATTAGATAAAAGACCAGTGTTTAATTAATGAAACTCGATTCCTAGTTTGATACAGTTGTCACGAAGGATGAAAAGAGACGGGTTTGTAATGACAAACATGCTTACGTTTGCGTTACTACGATGCGTCAATTTTAACGCTATGACACTAATGTTGCACTGCATATTCGACAATAACGTTAAAAAATGTGGTATTGTGATAAATAACTGCATGCCTATAGGTACACAAGCCATGACCTTCTTGTGACTCATAGGCGTATGTGACTTTATTTTGTACGTTTCTGCATTACGGTGACCAATATATGATATCAGGAAGTCTACAAGCTGACATAACTGTTGCTAATTTATGTCATAACTTATTAATAGCCACCATCAGGGGCACACTTATGACAAAAAAAAATGCATTGGTGTGACCATTATGATCTTGACGGGAGTGTAACTTTAAGAAGTTGTTACGTAGTTTTTACCATGTACAGATGAACGTGAGCCAGGAGGAATACGCGCGAATGTATGGCGTGTATCTGCGCAGTGTAGAAGAGAGCCGACGCAGGCGTCAGAGGGAGCAACACTATGAGATGGAACACGAACGTCTTGATGGCGTCATAGCTCAGAGATTCTACAGTTTCACCCACGCTGGTAAGTATTTTGTGTGTTTTAATACTTCAGTGACGTCTTGAATAACACAGTTAATATCCCTGATTTCGCTCCTTAGTACGGGAATTTTAACTTTCTACCAACGGCCATGTTGTTGGGCGTAGTCTCACTGTATCGATGTAAACTGATACCTTTTAGGCCTAGAAAATGTAATTGAAACTTAATTACGTGAACTTGTTGAAACACGATATTTTTGCTAGTATATATGGAGGATAAATTCATGCAAATCATCATAACAGAAAGACGGCAGTTTGTGTACCTGCACATATTATAATTAGCCGTGTGAATTATAATAAAGCACTTTGTTTCAATAATGTTTGTCGCATACCACTAGCATTGGCGCTCGAAAATATACAGAAATTTATTCTAAATTAATTCTTGAAGCCAAATTCATATTTATAATATTCGAAATCAGTGTCTTTGTAAGCATGGAACCAAAATAAAGGCGACTCTCCAGTCATTTGAATGTTAACAAATTGTTGTTTTTACCGCAAAATCTTTACATAATTGTTAATTTAATATCTTTTTAATGATCATAACACGACAGTACTTGTTTCGATATGGTATTTTATTGATCTCTGGTGAGAAAATTTTCATTTTGGATTTTAATAAAATTACTGGGATATCTGAAGTCATTCAAGAGATGAATTGATTGAATTTTGTCAACAACGCTCATATACGAGTAATATTTATATATCGAAATGCACAAGAAAACAATTTTTATGTCGGGATGTGTGAGAATCTGTTGTCACTGAAGCGGGAATCGACTTGCTAGTAAAGGCAAGCATGCGCTCTTTGATTCTAGGTACGGCGCACACAGCTAAATTTAGCCCTAGTCCCCCTTCCCACAGAATTTGTAAGATTTCTGCTGGGGTAAATGGAAGAACGCGTGCTCACCTTCTCCTGCTCGGAATGCCCACGTGTTCAAATGGGAAGTTCATTCATGAAAATGCTGTCCTCCTTCCCTTCGTCTCCCGCCTCCTCCAGCTGTCCTCAGCCCGACCTCTGAGCACTACTCACTGCTCCTGTGTCTGCTGACGGACAGCATGGCTGTATCTCAAGCTGTCTAACTGAATGACTGACTGAAATTCTTACTGAGTTAACGAAAGCCTGGCTAATAGACTCGCCGACTTAATAAACTGCTGGCAAACATACTGGATGACTGAATGACTGCGTGGCTGACAAACTGGATAATTGAATGAACAGTTGTTGGATAACTGAATGAACGAACGGCCAAGTAACAGGCTGGTCGTTTGGAAGACTATATAAATGAAGAAGTGACTGTCGGAGACACTGGCAGAGTTACAAGTTGATGGAATGGATGACTGAAAGCCTGATAAACTGAGCAACTATTTCTGGTTGCATGAGGGTTTCGTTGTCTGAGAACTGTTTTCACAAATTACTTAATTGAGAATGCTCTGCTCGTGAAAAAGAAAATCTGAGAGGTGATGTCGTCATGAAATTCTTATGTTGATTTTCTTAAAGAAAAGAAATACAGGCTTTATTTCTCGGGTTTTATCTATCCTGCAAAGCGACAATTATATAGAAACTGAAGATGTTGTTAGACTGGGAAAATCATTTACGATGTCCTTAAAATTTAAAGTTATGTCTCCTTTTCAGCTTATTTAGTGGCGACAGTTGCATTTCAATCTGTCCTAGTCTTCGCAAAGAGGAGACTGGAAGATGAAGCGGGCAGGACCACCCCGTCTCAGTCAATAATGTAGGAATGTGCTAAAGGCGTTGTTACACGGTGTTAAGCCTGCTCATGGTGCGGAAACTACAAGAGAACTGAATTCTCACCGTAATGTAAGAAATACTTCATTTTATGTATATACGCCCATTACTTTGCTTAAAAGCTTATGAAAAGGATTCGAGAATGAGTGAGAATTGTGACCTGGAAGAGTGGGTGTAAAATGTTTGTATGCTTCTTTAAAGAAGTGGATGGCAGTCCAAGGAAAGCGTGCCACCAGTGGCAAGTTACTTTTTAAGGATTCATCAATCATGTGTGTACTTTTTATGTTTTAACTAACCAACCGTTTCCGCGTAAGAATTTTCGTTATTCACAAGTCCAGAGGAATTTCCTGTGATAAGGAACCTACATTCCACTCCCGTCACAATACAGAGCCAGCTTAGTTCAGTTCAGAAGATAACCAGTCTCTCCAAGATACATTTTAATATTCTATGTATACTTAGGTCTCCCAGGGATGTGTTTACATGAGGTCTTCCAACCAAAGTTTGCATTCATCTCTCTCTTCCATCGTCTGCCAACATCGGTCAAGGGGAAAATAAAAAATTCTGAAGTTAAAGATTAATACAGTCTCTCAGAGTTCTCGTTCTTGAAATCTTCGTATTCAGAATCTTGGCCAGTAAGTGCGTCGTGTTCGCAACTGCAATATATTTCCTCATAAACTATAACTCATACAAGTCTAAATCAAGCATTCCGTTGCATTTCGTAATACATATTACAAAGTGAATTGTGTTTTCCCAACAACTAATATTCTAAAACAACTCCGGCTAAATTAACATTTTAGATTTAAGTGTGTTAGTGTTATACTGGAGCTGAACATTAGAATGATTATGACTTCGGTTCGAGTTTACAAGTTCGGTGTTCCGTTACAAATGGACTAATTCCAGTTACAAATTTGATTAATACTTCAGTGATAAAATAGTAGACCTGTCACTCAAAAATGTATCTCTCCTGCTTTACATGAAGAGAGAACTTCACCGGAACTATAGATTTTAGGTTGTGTCGTCATAAATCCTAAGACTTCTATGATTCTACTTTTTGAGAAGTATGCTGCTCATTCATCTGAACGCTGTGTAGTAGTATACTTCCGAAATCTGCCTTATCTACAAAGCATATGTCGGATTTTGGCTTGATTTAACCTCGATCTATGCTCGGGTAGGTAGTTTGATTGTGTCTCACACAGCTGATGTCTGCAGTAGCTTTCGAGTCTTACAAGAGAATATGATGAAAAATATAAGAATATAATCGTATAGTTCGTTTAAATAATACGTAGGTTTTCATAACAAGGATTGACCCTTTTCCTGCTTTAAAGATTAGAACATTTTTTATTATGTGTCAACCAATATACGTGTAGCGTAGTCCCTTGAATGTAATTCCAGATATAACAGCTGTTATTAATATGAAAGCTGACTGATTACAAAGACCGATCTCAGCTCAGGTGATATAATTATTCTTTCCTTCCAAATTTTTAGCAACTTCCGCCCTGCGTAACAAAATATTTGCCTTGCACAGTATAAAATCCTGGGCAAATTTGGCAGTGGACGTTTGCATAGTGAGGTTTCCCGTCAGAGTTCTCATCGTTGTCACGCCACTCTCATGCACCCACTCCAATGTTGCTACATCGTCAAATTACTGTAAACTCATAGCTTCTAAAAAACTGGAATGTATATCTCGACATTTGGAACATTTCCGAAAAATTCAGTGCTGCTGGCAGAAGAAACTATGAGACAATTTGTAGCTTTCGTACATACTTGAGGTGTGAAGTACTATTAAACAAATGAACTACAACTTCAACAGACCATGGCGCCACGGCGCCAGGATTTTGTCGAAACATACTAGCTGTTGACAGTGCGGTGCATTTATGTTCCCCGTAAGAAATACAAGCATAAGTCCCCAAAAATATTGCTGAAAATATACGCAAGTCAACACGTCTTTGATAGGTTCACTTGAAAGATTTCAGACTTAACGGGCGGAACATGGAGTGCTTTACCACAACATATAAATACTGGATATTTTTAAGGGTTATTCTTAAATATATTAATAACCTTCTGCTTGCGTCCATCAAAACGCTATGGAACGAGTATACAAAAAAATGAACAGTATGTAAGATCTGAGGTTTTCATGGCAGTGTAGATCTTGTGTGAACCGACGTTTCGGAGGAACGTCAGTTCACACAAATTCTACATGGCGCCACATCCCAGAAGACGACATTCTTTAAATGAGCAATAGTTTTGTATTCATCATGGCGAAAGCAATGCATGCTTTTTTAATTTTAAATGTAGTTCCGCCTCATTTAATTAACCTTTATATTACCAATAATCAGTAGGCCTGTGCCCTGTTATCATACTTCAAGCATACAAGTGTACATATCTATTAACTATGATTATTAATCATTCGAAAAATTAATTATTATATTTCAAGAAAAAATCGAACATATTATTTATTAACATGTCACCGTATTTACTTAGATGTAAAATTTGGTTCGCCATTTTAAATTTTCAGCAACTTGTATATTCTATCCGTTATGCTTCTCGGAATAGTTATTTTGTAAAAGATCCGTTTAAGAGCTCGGGTTTAAAATTCTGGAAGCTCAGACTTTTCAGTACTACGTAATAATCTTTTACCCCGCTAGAACTGAAATCAGGTTTATGCTTCTTTACTTCTTCATAGAACAGACACCGTAGCAAGAAGCGAAAAGAATACAATTTATTTAGAAAACGATGGTTGGCTGCTTTGCCGACCGAGCCAAATGCTAGAATAGAAACCGCTGTGCCCACAGCGGGACTATGAAGACTGGCATCTTCTGCGATAAATGTACAGACCTTTAGATATTCGTACACATTTCGAGGCAAGGTCCTTCCTCAGTCTTCATGGTCAAAGTGTAAATCAAGCAAGAAGCAGACAAGAACCTAGCCGGCTTGTTTCCTACTAGATTCTCGCTTGGCGTACTCTTCAGTCCGGAAGTTCGAAGCAGGTGTTCCCCAGAAATGTCGGTCTACCGAACCACGGCATTGCATCACAAGAGAAGTTTACGATTCAGCCAGATCGTTAGGTGAATGCCTTAGGAGGCTACAGGATACCTCTCTCTTGAATATACGGTGTCTTATCCTAAACTCTATATTCCTGAGTTTTGACGTAAGCTAGCATGTGGTCATATTTCTTAATCTGTTAACTAACGAATGATGTAAATTTTCGTTTAAAAATTAGTATATCACAACGGCTTTCGTAGCCTGTGCCGGGTGCATGTTTTCGGTAACAAAACAGTTGCCTTCTTTTAAATGAACTGCTCGGATTCTAAGCACAATAAAGCACAATTTGTACAAAGGTTAGGAAACTCTTTTGAACTGTCTGCTCTTTCTCCATTTTATTATTGCTATGCGGCACAAACAGGGGGTCACGTGATAGCGTAGTTGGTTGAGGCACTGTGCTACAAGCCGGAAGATTACGGGTTTAAATCCCAATGAGGTCATTGGATTTTTTCAATTAACCGAATCCTTCCAGCCGCACTATGGCCCTGGGATCGACTCAACCTCTAACAGAAATGAGTACCAGGAATTTTCCTGGGGAGTAAGCGCGGCCGGCGCGTAAGACTGACAACCGTACCGCCATCTTTGAGCCGATTGTCTAGATAATGTAGGACCCTCAACGTCTCACAAACCTATGGACCTTCACGGCCTGTTACAGGGATAGCTTTACTTTTTTTTTATGCGTCACAAACAAGCTATTTGGATACGTTCTTACAAGTCTTTTAAGTTCCGTGCCATAGCTCAGGTGGTTAGTCGCCGGCTTCTCACCGCGGCGGTCGGGTTCGCGCCCAGATCATGTCATGTGGGATTTGTGGTGGACGAAGTGACATTGAGGCAGGTTTTCTCCGAGTATTTCGGCTTCCCCCGCAAATTCTCATTCCAACGACTGCTCCACAATCATCATCTATCATCCGGGGCTGTAAAATAGGCCAGTTAGTGGCCGACATACCAAGTGGACTCAGTCTCACCCCACCCCAAGAAACTAATTAAACTAACTGTAAGATTTGAGGCTTTCACGGCGGTGACTATGAAGAAAGCAGTCTAAATCCCAGAAGACTGCTTTCTTCAAACTAACTGTAAGTTTACAACCCCTTCACCTAACTCGACTAGTTCAAACGAAGTTAAGTGATACCGTAATGATCTACGAAATCCATAATTTTCTATTTTCTATTTCCTCTTTAAATAATGTGATTTATTCGGAACTGAGGATATTGGGCGAGAAACTGTGTATTTGTGCGGTTCTTATAAACTTTCAGGTACAACTTGAAATGCATTCGTAAGTTTGGCAAGGAAGCCCCTCGCCTCTCGCGGTTACATGGAATATCAATATGATATTAAAATGTATCTTACAGAGATTCTGAGAGGATGTGAACTGGGTCGATATAGTTTTGTATGGAAGGCAGTTTACTTAACAGAAACTATATTAATTATAAGAGTTATACAACAGAATAGTATGAGAAGAGATTAGATAAGCATAATTAGGGAAGGCATTCTCTTCAGTTTCTAAAGGGCTGTTGAGAGTTAAAATGACAGTAATTGTATATACGCATTTATTAGATAACTACAACAGTATGTTCGGGAGCCACGATAAATAAATTTGGGTTACCGCAGTTAATCGCAATAAACTGCAGGAGCAGCATGCATCTGACATGCTAATTGGTCCTCAGGCGTTGCCAAGCCAAGTCTGGCACTCCAAACAAGTTTCTGATCGGTTTCCATTACCAAGGAAAAAAGCAGATGGGTGGGATTTTTCTCAGTCGAATTGTGACTGCTGCTAGAAGTAGCCTTGAGACTTTAGAAAGTGAATGCCTGTTTAATGAGTGCGGTATTTTAATTTAACAAAATTTTAAAAATCTCCGCTTTACTAGATCAGTGATCAGAATGGTACTGTGTCTGTTACTCTAGTAGGTACCGAACTTGTTCTGTCATTCTATTGGACTTAATCTGACGGCATAGAAATTATTGCTCCTGCTCCGTAATTTGGAGATCTCGGGTTCGAAACTGGCTATCCTGTTTGACTGTTTTCATGTCTTTCCTTAGCTCCTTCAAAAATAATGGAACAGTATCTTAAATCCTAAACCATGGACATTGCTTTCGTCATTCATAAATCTCTAGCAATTCGACCACGTGTGACCTAAGCTGATGAAGCATCTTAAACGGAACTTCAAAAAAAAAAAAGGATTCTACCGTCATACAGTATAAGCCCCCTCCCCCGATAATTTGAAAGCTGAGAGCTGGTACGAAGAACATCGAACGACCTTGAACTGAAGTAAAAAAGAAACCATTATGTACAGTAGATCTTTGTAATTTATATTTTTGTCCTGGCATTGCTATTGGAGTTAGGGGGATTTTCAACGGATTTCAGCCGGAGTATATATACAGAGTGTTTCACGGCTTTAGGGCATAACTGCAGGAGGTGATTTCCTAGGTCTTTGTGATCAAAACAGTTCATATAAACATGTGTCCGATTTTGGACGGTTACGGAGTTATAACCGTTTTAAACTCAGAATAGAAGGTAACGATTACTGACAATAAACGGAACAAAATAATAAACCAGCATAATACATGATACATTTAAAGTATGAATGTAAAGTTAACTTCGTGAAATTACCTTTAATTTGAATTGATTGGTGCTTAAAGCTGATTTTCGAAAATGCCACCGCCGGCCGTAACACAGGCTGCCGATCGGTTGTGAACCGCGCGGGTAGCACGTAGCAGCTTCAGCTGGCTGTTTCTTATGTAGTCAGCGGCGTCCAGAATGCGACCGAGCAAAGCATCTCGCGTTGCCACCTTCACATTGTAAACCAGTTCTTTCATCCATCCCCACACACAATAATCCAGTGGGCTTAAGTCTGGAGACCTGGCTGGCAATTCTTCGCGTACTCGTACGTGGACTGCGGTGTACCATACGAACAATGCCTTCTTCATTGACGCCTTCATTAACACCACGCTCGGCTGCAATACGAACGCCGGGAAGTCTACCGGTATCTCGCAATGCCTGGTAAACTCCAGTAAACACTCTCCGGTTCGGTATTCTACGATTCGGAAACCGTTGCTGATATTCAGCTACGGCAAGAACTGAGTTACCGTCACAAAACCCGTACACATGAATCATATCTTCATACTCCTCAAATGAAAATGTAAATGGCATCGTGAACGTAACAGACGCACCGAGATGAGAATTGTTCTGAACACCAGTAGCCACCACAGTTGCCGTGGCCGGACATACCAACCCACCACGCCTTAGGTAGCTGGCCAAAAATAGCGACCCGCCAGATGACAGACGAGGTTCACACGAGGGCGTGTACGGGAATGAAAAGACGGTCATAACTCCGTAACCGTCCAAAATCGGACACATGTTTATATGAACTTTTTTGATCACAAAGACCTAGGAAATCACCTTCTGCAGTTATGCCCTAAAGTCGTGAAACATCCTGTATATTAAAATGGATATCAATGAAGCTGGCTTTGACAGTGTGGATCGGACCGAACAGTTCACAGCCCGATCTAATGGCGGTCTTGTCGTTACTGGTGTTGAAGTTCTGGTTTTCAACATAAGAGAATGTGCTTATTCGGTTCTTGCTTCGAGGATTAATTACTTCAGTAAAATAAATTGCCCGAACCACCTCAGTCTGAATCACTATAATATTTACAATTCTGCACAAATATCAATTTTAGTATTATTCCCTCGTTTGCCCATCAGTTTAATGAAAAGGATCTTTTCGGAATTAGAATACTGTAACCTACTTTTAACGTGTCTAGCTGAGAGTTGGACGTCTCGCTCTGATTACCTTGGAACAGCTGAGATCTTCCATAGGACAAGAGTTCCGGTGGGTTTGAGTCATTCTGAAGACAATGAAGCCTACGTGTATGTCTCTTCTTCCAGTGGCATAGCGGAATTCTTGGTTGTTTCCTGCGAATGGGAAAAGTAGGTTTACGTATTTATTTATTTACTTGTTTGTTTATTGCTTACGTAACAAAGCAGCAAATATCTCAGATCGTGTGGCGTCAATTAATGGAAAGTAAAGTAAAAGTAAAGCTATCCCTGTACCAGGCCGTGAAGGCCCATAGGGTTGTGAGACGTTGAGGGTCCCACATTATCTAGACAATCGACTCAAAGATGGCGGTAAGGTTGTCAGCCTTACGCGCCGGCCGCATTTTACTCCCCAGGAAAATTATTTAATTAATTCCTGGTATTCATTTCTGTTAAGAGGCTGAGTCGACCCCAGGGCAATAGTGCGGCTGGAAGGATTAGGTTAATTGAAAAAAAGAATCCAATGACTGATCGGGACTTGAACCCGCGACCTTCCGGCTTGTAGCATAGCCCCTCAACCAACTACGCTATCTCGTGCCCCCCAATTAATGGGATAATTAGTAAATTATGAATTGGAAAGGATTTAGAAGGAAGCGGTCGTGACTTAATTTTTTTTTTCCCCTTGGCACTATAGCCACAGTGGGCCTAGGTCTACCTCCATGAACTTCTCCGTTCACTTCGTTTTTTCTAGATCTTACACATTCGGTAGGACTCCTTGGGCGGGTGATCAGCTCGTCGCAAGGCCTCTACCTGTACACAAACACAGAAAAACGTACACACACAAACTAAACATCCATGCCCTGAGTGGGATTCGAACCCACGATCCCGGTTTCCAAGCGAGCGAAGACAGTACATGCCTTAGACCGCTCGGCTACCGTGACCGGCCGTGCCTTAATATACCATCCCATAATTTGCCACGAAAAGCCTCATTCAGGATGATCAATGTCCGGACCAAGATTTGAGGCAGAGACCTCCAGAATACAAAGCAGGACTACTACCCACTTGTCTGCGACGTTCGGTAGAGGTTTTATTAAATTTTTAGCCTGACTGTACGCACGAACTGAACATTGTGAAGATTGCACTGCTCTTTATCTTACTGGCTGACTGGATTAATAACATGCTGAAGGACACAGAAATGATGTAAAAGCAGTACCAATCATATAGAGGCTATCAGATTAGTTCGAACATCCAACGACTGAAAAGAAGGAAGCTTCTGCAATTATGCAGCAGCAATGTTTGTTGTTTGTCTGTCTAGCATGTTTCTGTGGAGAGAGTGAAGCAGGCGGCTACCCAGCTCGGAATGACTGAGAAAAACAAACAAAAGGCTCAGAAGGAAGCAGGGACCTATTGAAGCGAAGGAACCAAGATTGTACTCTTGACAACTTTCCCGCCTGATATATATGTTGGCGTGATTGAGCAATTGAAAGCTATGTAGTACTTACTAATTGACCGTCCAAGTGTGATGGGCAGACCACTCCCTTACAGTTACAAAAAATTATCTGTCCAACCAAACACCCCAATGATAACAGTGTGTGCCCTGGGCGTAGTACTACAGTGCAGCCCACTTTCAGTTGTTCAAGAAATTACCTGTTGTTATGGAACTTCACTCTCCATTAGTTTCCACATAATTCGATACATCCTGTTCTAAGACAGTCCAGGTTCATTTCACATCCCATCAAACTCTTTCCAAAGTAGCGAATTCTATATTTTTTTGCTGAAGGTTTAGAAGCATACATTACTCTCTGTTTATAAAACCAAAATTTTTCGAAAATTGTTAACAACTTCTTTCTTTTCTTTTCTTTTTTTGCCTTCATTTTGATATTCGAACCGAAAGGATTTAGTGATAGAGATCTTGATTCATACTCGGGAGGAGTTCGGTGCAAAACAGGGCCGGGACGCCATGTATCCTGACTGAGGTTGGTCGCGATTTTCTTCAGTTACTTCAGGCAAATGCTGGTATAGAGCCTCGATTGGGTCAGGATCGCTACCTTTATAATTCATCATTGACTTATTATCCTACAATTCGACAATATTTTATCTATCTGCTATTGATATCGCTGTATAATACTCCACAAAAGTTTGATATTTGAATGTAGTATTTGTTTATTTACATAAGGGCTTCCAACAGGTGATTTTACGGATCTGTTCGTTCCCCTTAGGTGTTGCATGCTCGATCTGTCCCTAGTTTCGTCATCTGACTATCTTTATTGTCTCACCTTTTACTTTACTTTACTTTACTTAATCCGTTCCTCTTATACCCTACCGTGTCGAAGTCGTTTTTCTTTTTTGATCATTTTACAGACGGTAGGACTCCTTGGATGAGTGATCAGCTCGTCGCAAGGCCTCTACCTAATCACAGGACAGACACAGACTCAGAATAAACACACGCACATACCAAACTTCCATGCCTTGTGTGGGATTCGAACCCACGATCCCGGCTTCCAAACGAGCGAAGACAGTGCATGCCTTAGACCTCTCGGCTGCCGTGACCGGCCTGTCTCAACTTACTTGATGTAAATATTCGAATAACGACAAGAAAAGAGTAGGAATCTAAACCTTCCATTTAATGCGACAGAATGTTTTACATGAACTGACTTTGAAGTAATCTGCAGTTTACTTCAGTTTAAGTTTAATTAAATCAATTCCACAAGAAATGTTATTGTCAATGAACACAAGGGCTTAGAACTTCAGTTAAAAAATACTAGTAAATATACTCTGTCTTCTCCATTCATAATTAAGAAAGGAAATTCCTGAATCCTAGGATCAGTATGAAATGTAAAATACTATCATTCCTATGTTTATGGCACTTAAATGTTTATAAAGACAGCTGTCAGTGCTCGAATGAACAGGTTCATTGTTCATTCGGTGTCAACATCCTGTTGCCAGTTGATTGACAAGTAGCCATCTCTCACGTGACATTTCATTCACAGGAAAGCAACCTTCACAGCTCTTTATCTTTAATTACTACTCTTTATATAGAACATTCTCTGGTAGCGGGTGGTAATTAAAGATTTTTCATTGGCGCTACAGCCCTCATTTGGGCCTAGGCCTACCTCCATGAAACTCTCCGTTTCACTTCGGTTTTATTAGATCTTACACATACGGTAGGACTCCTTGGGCAGGTGATCAACTCGTCGCAAGGCATCTACCTGTACACAAACACAGAAAAACGCACACAAACATCCATGCCCTGAGTGGGATTCGAACCCACGATCCCGGCTTCCGAGCGAGTGAAGACAGTGCATGCCTTAGACCGCTCGGCTACCGTGACCGACAATGTTTTATTTACCCGGGGTAATATTTCGCTTTAAAAAACAAGAATGCCCCAATAGAACTGGATAAATAATAAACAAATATGGGAAATTAAGAAAATTAATCACGCTATCCCCCATAAAACAGCAATGTCAGTTTGGGTATATTTCCATATTATATATGAAAAATAGAATACGGATTAATGGTGCTAATAGGACTTGTCAGATAGAGATGTCTTGAAAATTCTAGACGTAAGATACATGGGAAATTAATATTACATCATAGAAATGCAAATTTAATTTAACTGATTCAAATTCATATAAAGTGGTTATCTTCAATTATAAGGAGTTCTAGCTTCTGAAATATAACACCGTGTAGCCCGTTGAAAGTCAATCGGCCGTTTCGGAGGGACAGGTCGCCTTTAGAGTTGAAAATTTGCCGAGCAAGAAGCCAGCATGAAAGCAAGTGACATGCAGAGTTCTTGCTCGGCTTGTTCTTCGACCATGAAGCTGGAGGAGACATGTTCCTCCGAAACGTCAGCTGACTTTAAACGGACTACACAGCGTTATATCCCAGCATAAGATAGAACCCTTCCTAAGCACAACTGTGAGAACCTCACATCCTGCATGCCTTTAATTAGTTACTTGGTTAGACATGAAAGTTTAATTAATGTGCGCGTTTCCAAAGACAAGTACAATTTTTAATCACTTCCGAGCATATTTGGAAAATGGAGGCTTCTCAGTTAATTTACAAGCTTTAGTTTCAAACTGACCAACTGAATATATTTCTCAACAAGGCTACTGAATTTTCTGTTCACTATAGTGTTACCCAAACGACTCTTGATTTCTACGAGGTTCAGTAACTCTTCATGCCCAAGAATGTGAGAGCAGAATGTCTAGTTTGTAGTATATTTAGGTAGGAAGTCTCAGATGGCCTGCAGGTATAGGCGGTATTCACAATAGACTGGGAACATTTACTCAACAGAGAAGAGAGGGCTTCACTGTACTCACTGATTATTTTCATAGCCGCCGCATTCCACAGTTTCTCTTTATATTTTCTATTGGCATTACGTATTGGCACCTACACACACACTGACATAAATTCAAACAGTGTGAAGAAACGATGAATGACAGACATCTCAGCGCATTCAAGATTCTTTGAGAGGTGAATCAACGAAATGGTTCGAGACTACAAGATGCATGTGATACTAATGCAAACGTTACTGCTGTTGTCATAACCCCTACCTGCCGCCATTGAAGAATCATATTTCTTAGGAGCACAACACAGTCTTGGATTAGACCGGAAATACACGCAGTCAAAAACAAAAACAAAATGCAATACCTTGAAAGAACAATAATAACATTACTGGCTAAGCCACACGGCCAATACGTCTGTAGAGCCCATCCGACTACCTGTTAGACGGATGTGGGACTAAAGCGGGATGAGGGTGACCTGATCGCTGTCTCCATCTAATATCGAGTTTCAAAATTACTGGGGCTTTACTTCCGCGCCATCTTTAATCCACTAGAGACCACTAGCTTAACCTTATTCAAATACAGTCAACAAAGTGCACGGACTTTCCTTGCAGTTACGGTCTGACTTGCCGTGACATACTTGATTCGAATGACAGATTTTTTTATATAATTCTTTTTTTATTTTAAAATAATTTTACAATCTACTCAATATACATAAATAGAGTAATTAGTAAAAGGGATGGGTGTGTGTAATATTGAAGCAGGTATCATCCTTGTATGATTATCTGGTGCTTATCTAATGAGATCCTCTGGCCACAGTCTATTTAGTCTTTTTTTTTTCTTTTGCTGGTTGGTTGAAGAGGTTTCTTATTAGCTTGTCGTTGTTTTGAGTGGTCCAGTTTTTGTGTTTCTCCGCTTATGCTCTGATGACTTCTGTTACATCTGGTATGCTTAGATCATTGTGTAAGGTAGCGTTTGATACGTACCAGGGAGCATTAACTAGTTTTCTTAGGGGCGAGTGATAGATGAGAAAGAGAGTAGCCTGACTGCTAGCTATATGGTTTTCATGAAACTTTCCAACATTATGCCGGAAACGACCGCTTCTTTCACGATCTTTTCCAAACCAACATTCACGATAAACGCACATCACATTAGACCCTACACTCTTGTCTCAGTATAAAGTACAGCATCGTCAAATAGCATATGAATTAACTCGCTACAGCCTCCAGTGAGGTGTATGGAGAGTAAGCATCTCAATCAAGAAGAGAGGGGAAAGGTGCATATACTCGTATGATAAAAATCAGTTAAATACTGAGTTTAATTGAGTTCAATTTATGAGATTTCAAATTCTCACGGGGGTGAATGCTTAGATTACGATCCCATGGGGTGTGACTCCACGTAGTTTGGTAGAGAAGTATCAATGTTTCGGAATAAACTGCTACTTTTTCTTCAGTCTAAAAGAGTCTACTTGAAAGCAGAGGCAGTAGGATCTTCGAAAACAGTGGTACCTGTGTACTAAACTACTTTTAATATCTCGGAAACCGTCGGGGACACTGTGCGAGATGATATTTTTGTGATGAGCGGGAATATATATATGAGTATCACAGTCAGTCAGGGAGGAAAATGGAGATGCTTTGCGATGGAGATAAGTAACGTTGCTGGGTGACTAATCGACCTAAACTCGACACAAGAATTTAGCCTCTTCAGACGTCAGATTTTGATTCGCCACAATATAATGCCCCGAAGTGTTTAGAATTTGGTTTTCCGTTGCCAATGTCAAACCGTTTGCTTCGTCCATGCTCCCGCAATAACATCGGTTGACGTTTCGTCCTTCTAGAAACTGCGAAGCTTCAGTGTCTTCAGATCCAAGTGTATTTGGAGCGAATGCTTCAGTCGGATTTCTCTTTTCAGAGGTTCTATACGCATATGAGAGAAATAACGAACGCAATTATGAGCACATCTCGTCCCTCCATAACATATGTCACCCCCCAAAACATCTGTCACTTTGGCTAGCAAAGATGGAAAGATGTGAATTTATGCCGATTAGTTTGTTGTTGCACTATAAATCGGAATTTTGCTCAGAAAACTAAAAAGGCTATATTTATTTATTTCGTGAAATGTGCGTCATACGGAAGAAAACTGTTGCAGTTAGAGGCGAATGTAAAGGGAAAAAGGGAATGCATTTAGGATTTTAGTGAGGACGCCTCATGGGAAAAGACAGGGGATATTGAGGAAATGTACCGTAAAGTAATGAGTTGTATTCCAGGGTAGGGCATAATGACTGATGTCGAAACTTCAGGTCAAATTACAAGATACTTAGCTAATTAGTTAATAGTCTGTTCTTTTCTCGTGAAATGTTTCCTTATATTACGGCCTTCTTTTTATTTAATTCTCACAAATTTCAATTTCAGATAAGAAATTAATTGGGGGGTTCGTAAGTATGCGTGCTCCTGTTTCTGTTATTCTTTCATAGTCATCTTTTTTTTATTGCTAGCGGGGTGGGACTAGTCCCTTGTACTGCGGCCACTTCTGGCCTACTGTACCAGCCCCAGATGATAGGTGAGGGTGATTGTGGAGCAATTGGTGGAATGAAGATTGGCAGGGGAAACCGAAGTACTCGGAGAAAACCTGCCCAAGCGCCACTTTGTCCACCACAAATCCCACTTGACCAGACCCGCGATCGAACCCCGGCCGCCGCGGTGGGAAGCCAGCGACTAACCGCTTTCGTAGGCATGGCGTGTATGCAATGGACATTCAAGAAGGGAAGCGGATCTTTTGTGCTTGAAAGGAATAAATTTTTGTAGGGAATTTTATGTACACACAAACACAATCGTATATATACACAATACGTCGTGAGACATATTTATAGATGCAGCCATCCATATTCGTAGAAAGTAGGATACTTATTGTGTACTGGTATGCCCCATTCTTGATTGACAGAAGAACTGAATGCTGAAGATCTCGTACAGGCAGAATTCTCACTGGTAAAGAGCATAGTGGCCGGTCATGGTAGCCGAGCGGTCTAAGGCATGCACTGTCTTCGCTCGCTCGGAAGCCGGGATCGTGGGTTCGAATCCCACTCAAGGCATGGATGTTTGTGTGCGTTTTTCTGTGTTTGTCTACAGGTAGAGGCCTTGCGACGAGCTGATCACCCTCCCAAGGAGTCCTACCGTATGTGTAAGATCTAGAAAAACCGAAGTGAACGGAGTTCATGGAGGTAGGCATAGGCCCACTGGGGCTGTAGTGCCAGGGGGGGGGGAAAGAGCATAGTGTATCTGATTTAAATAATCATACCAATAAATTACTACCTACAAACAAAATTTCCTTGAAACATAAGATATTCTTAGCATTAAAAAAAAAATCGAGACATGCGGACCCAAAATGACACCTTAATCTTGCACAAAATAATATAAATAATTGGAATTTTCTCAAAAAAATATAACTCGGCTACTGCTACAGCAGAATTTCTAGACATCGAACTACATCACAATAGAGACCCATAACGTAGTCCGTTATGCATCGTCCAGATCTGCAATGAAAACAGTAAAGTTAATTTATTCGGCAAGATTTTCTTGTAACTAAAGCAGCTAAGAAACGCGAGCACTACTGCGGTGTTGCTGATAATGACAAACATTTTCTTTTCAGTATTTATCGAAGTTAAAATATTACTCCAAGAGGCCGAGATTACGTCTCTGCATGCAAACCTCACACTGCAAATAATATCGTTATTTCTCTTCAATCAGCAGTCAGTTCTAACCAATGTAGAGCGGAAAAGATCCGATACAGCAGTCACAAGGTTAGGAGCGTTTGCTCGGTCTTGCATCATCGCAGAATTGTACTTGGTGATAAAATTATTACTGGGACAGGGAGGCGGTGATCCAGTGATTGGACTCAGTGGCGATGATGACAGCGTTCCTCCGACTTCCATTCGCTAATGCTGCCGAACCGGAAGTTCTGAAGGAGGCGTAGAGATCTGCCGGTGTTTGTTTTATTCTCGCAGTAGGAGCTACAGTATATGTAGCGAGTAGTCGCAACTGAAATTAATATATCTATTGCCTCTGTCTTATGACCACACATATTCTATTTCTCGGACTTCTTAAATTTATCTTCTTTTGTAAATGCTGTTATTAGGGACTCATTTAAGTCACACTTCATTGCCTTCCATTCTTTACAAAATCTTCTTACTTGGTCTATTGCCTTTTGTAGGCCCTTACTTGTGAATGACGACACTGCCAAGCCATCCGAAAATTTAATCTATAGATGGTGCATATCACATATAATTATATATTTAACTTGTACAATATTGCTTATTAATCGCACTCACTCATTGAGCTGAGCCCTTATTGAGGACCTGCCAATTGTGCAGCTACTCAAGAACTTCCCAGCATTTTATGGAACCTGAAGGCTTATTACTGTGTTTACAAGAGCCCTCCACTGGTCCCTATCCAATCCATACCATCCCATCTTAATTCTCTAAGATCCATTTTAATATTGTTCACCCACCTACTTCTTGGTCATCCCAGTCGTCTCTTTCCTTCTGGCTTTCCCAACAATATTCTATATGCATTCCTCTACTCCCCCATTCGTGCTACATGCCCTGCCCTGCTTATTAAATTTAAAAAAAAATTAGAACTTAGTCTACACCCTAGTCCACCTCCCGCGTTTGAGGGGCAAAATTTGTTACTTCATTATCTGGGTAATTTACACGCAATTTTGTACCTTCGTACATTTTCTTGATGCAGTTTATCATATTTTCACTCACTGCGAATATTCTCGTTTTAAACCTAACAACTGACCCAAATGCTTTTTCGAAAACCACAAAACGCAAATATAACAGATCCCCCTTTTCCCTCAAATATTTGTCAACAGGTTTTTTTTCTCTTTTTTTTTTTTTTTTTTTGTTTATTATAAGAAGGTTATCCGTGCTTCGTTTCCCTTGTCGAATTCTGTCTGGAATGTTGACGGTATCCTGTGATCCTTAGGAGGTATTTATTTCAAATCAGGACTTCAGATTGGGCAGGGAGTTTTATGGTAATAAATACAACAATTTGTGACGATTAAAACCGCACATTATGGTAAAAGCACAGGAAATTGTTCCTGAGGTTAGTTAAAAATCGCGTCATGAAGGCGTATGGGACTGGAAGTACAGTTCCATACATTCTTAATTTCTTCACTAGATGCGCTAAGAAAAGAATCGAAAATGAGACCCCAGCTCTGGCTTAACTTGATACCGAAAGAAAATTTACCTTTAAGTTATTAGGCCATATTGCTCTGGAAACGGCTGTGTAATATTTTTATATCTTCCATCAGCTGCTCAACTGCTATTAGATAAATGGGATTGAACCTTGTGTAAGTTCTGTAATGACTTGTAGGCCTATTTCACGCAATAGCGACATTTAGCACAAATGCTACTGCTGTAAATACAGATGATTTAAAATTGTGCTGTAGTTGATAACATGAGAAGCTGGAAGTTCGTCAGAAACGGTATTACAAGAAATGACAACTGAATGGCCTGGTCTCAGTCTTACATTGATGCTGTAGCCGTAACATTAAAATTATCGCTACACAGTTTCGACTCCTGGTTTAGGTAGCACACCCAGACTTGCTGATGACTAGAGAGAGAAAGAGAGACCACCCTGCTCGGTCCAGCATCTCGAGGCGCATTCCACGAGCACCAGATGGTCCGCCTGTTACTCGCCCACACAAACGCCCGAGAAGTTGCGTGCTAATTAAATTCCCGTAATCTTGTATAAGCCAAAACAAATGCATTACAACGCAGTACGAATGGCGGACTTTTAATGTACCAAAAAGTGTCCCAAGGAAGAATGCAGTATGAAGCAGTCCACTGTCAAAGAAACAAGTACGATCGTATATACTTGTTATGCAGGCGTGCATTTCCTTTCAGTGAAGATTATGAAGCTACTATTAGATGTCCGTTTTTTATTTAAATGATGTTATGTCAACTTCAGCCGGTCACGGTAGCCGAGCGGTCTAAGGCATGTACTGTTTTCCCTCGCTTGGAAACCGGGATCGTGGGTTCGAATCCCTCTCAGGGCATGGATGTTTAGTTTGTGTGTGTGTGTGTGTGTGAGCGATTTTCTGTGATTGTGTACAGGTAGAGGCCTTGCGACGAGCTGATCACCCGCCTAAGGAGTCCTACCGAATGTGTAAGATCTAGAAAAACCGAAGTGAACTGAGAAGTTCATGGAGGTAGGCCTAGGCCCACTGGGGCTGTAGTGCCAAGGAAAAAAAGAATGTCAACTTTAGAGGTTATTCAGCATCTAAGAGTGTGAGAGACAATTATGCACGGCGAACTGTAGAGGATTAGGCATGAAGAGGCCGCGATTTGTTTCAGGGCATTTCTGTATTATTTGTCTCGATGACCTGAGAAAACCATGTAAAGCCTCATTATATCTTGTGCCCTGGATAGACCTTGCACAGAATACATTATGGATATAAAATCTGTTATGCTAAGGGCAAATATGGCCGGTCACGGTAGCCGAGCGGTCTAAGGCGTGCACTCTCTTCGCTCGCTCGGAAGCCGGGATTGTGGGTTCGAATCCCACTCAGGGCATGGATATGTGTGTGCGTTTTTCTGTGTTTGTGTACAGGTAGAGACCTTGCGACGAGCTGATCACCCATCCAAGGAGTCCTACCAATTATGTAAGATCTAGAAAAACCGACGTGAACGGAGAAGTTCATTGAGGTAGGCCTAGGCTCACTGGGGCTGTAGTGCCAAGGGGGAAAAAAGAAAAAAAAGGGGGGGGGAAATATGAGACCGGAATTGCCTCTTGCACGAAGTACAATATCGCATTTCTTTTACTTAGCCACTGAAGTGGAGTCGTGGAGGAATGCGTCTACATAACAGTAACAGTCTTCACTGGGGTTTCCATTAACTTATAGAGACCACTTGTTATAAGGTCTCCGTTTACGTTGTCAATAACGGGATGGGTGTGAACCTGACTCAAGCAGGAAATCCACGCACTTGTATCGGGTTATAAAAGTGGCTGAAGATATGTCTTTGGTTTCAGCAAGAGTAGTCTTTTTGCATTTATTTCATTGCGCATAACAATAGTCCAGACACAATTTTAATTAGAAATGATACTAAGTGTGACTATATTTAATAGTTCGTTTTTTATCTCTTCACACTGACGATATTTAAATACCTCTTCCTATTCAGTCTTGTAACGGAATTTCGCTATAAAATCTAACCACATTCAAAATGTTTTGGTAGATTACGGGACCATTAATATATACTTAATTATATACATTATTAGATGTCAGTTCATTGGAGTGATGTCCTTTCACCTTCCCCATTGTGTTAAAGACTGCCTGGTCTGTTGAGTGCCAGCTACAGTTTATTTGTTCATCCATGAATCAGAAGACATCATTGCTTCTCTGTCTCTTTCTGCCTGGTAAGACGCAATAGAACGGAGCTACTGCCGCAAACCTTTGAAGGCAAGCCTTTGATTTGGGACAGCACACCCACCCGTCCACCCACAATGTAGCAACACACTTAACGTGCCGTGTTCTGGGTCGTGGGATGCAGTTCTGAGGAAAAGCAAGATTCCGTACTCCTGTCCGCTCTTTCGTTCTTGACGAAAGCTTCCTCTGGTTTTATCCATCGTGTCAGTTTCCTTCCTCTACGTAACGTGTGCGTATCTTTGGCGGGTTGTTACGGGTTTATGAGCGTAAAGACTTACAACGTGACAGGATCATTATACTTTTTATTCATCCAAATTACTGCCAGATTGATCAGCCGTCAGTCTTCATTAGAAATTCAATAACATAAGCATACGTGTCCACTTTCGTATGAAGTTGAACGAAGAATTTAATTCTACACTAAGTTCTTAATTAATTGGAAATTTTTAATTTATCTTTTGCACAAAAATGCATCATAATATCACGTATTTTGGGATGTGCGTGACTTCTAGACGGGTTTCGGATTGATGACTGGATTTGTTGCACACTTATAAAACTTGTTACTACACTTCACAAACCACTATGACTATCACTATGTCCTCCCTTCTCCATTATCTTTGACTGCGCCTCAAGAGACTCCCTCAATTATTCTTCAGCTACTCTTCAATTATTCTTATTTCTCAATCAAACCACTCATCTGGACTGGGATTCTCATTATATAGCCTCGGGTCGGACCCACAGAAAACATCGTCTCTCAACAATAGTTCCATTATTGCCCCTTGTCGAGGAAATGTATTTACCGAGCAGTTGCCTAGTAACGGACGTCTCCTCTGGCTCCATTATTCTGACCTTCAGGCGTCATGTCACTATAACTTTTCATTTACAGTTCATGTCATCACAACCGTGATATGCAGTTAATTTCTTTGTAATTTATTTCAGGCCGGTTGTCCAGTTATTTCCTATTTTACGTTGTGAGTGTTGAGCAGAACAGCATGTTAATTGCAGCATAACTGCCAACGTGCTCACTCCATATAATATATTCCTGGCACCGACTGAATCGATACGAGTCATTAGCGAATAATGCTGTTCCTCCTGCTTGAGATAATAGGTCTATATTAGCTTCATATAGTCATATTTCAAGACGGTAATTAAGCACGTGAGCAGAGCAGAGGATCATCTCAGTCATTTCAAGTTAGAAAATTTGTGATTGGCGTAAATTAAAATTTCAAGTACCTAACAAGTAGCCAACTTACATTGGTCTAATTTTGTTGAAAAGTGCAGAAAGCTCCGTGTGGACACTGGCTTCACTCTTACGTGAACACATGAAAAATTATTCTCGACCTGCTCTGAGTTGTGATAGAAAGAATGCAGCTCGTCGTGGGGGCGAGGGAAGGGGTAAAAATACCGGGGTAACCTTATCGGACAGGCCTCCTGTCTGTCTCATGCAACCTGGACCTTGTATTTGGCAACCTTCCCCGTAACAGGCATGCACTCTAGGCGGCGCCGTATTCCGTAGGTGTATACTAAGGTGATTTTCTTCTTTTTATATTTCCAGGTCACCTGAGGGAAAGAGCTCGCCGCAAGGTGGGGACGAGGCGCCGTCAGAGTTCCATCACCTGGCTGTACTTTCCTATTGACATACCGGAGGCTGGACAGAGTCAGCAAGTCGAAATTGAATACGCAACACTCCGAATTTTCATGTCAGGTCTTCATCCAGAAGAAGCAGCTCGTGGTGAGAACACAGTGGAAGTGAGAGTGTACCAGGTCCTTCAACCAGCCCAAAGACGCCATATAGACAATTATGGAAAGACACGCGTACCCGAACAAAGAAGACTGTTAGTCGATGAACGTCGGATTCATCTTGCTACTTCCGCATCAAAATGGACGGAATTTGATGTGACTAAAGCGGCAGAATCATGGGTGAACCGTGGAGCCAGTAATCTCGGACTAGAAGTGGAGTGTCGTGAATGTGTACAGCGCGGTATCACCCTCATCACACAGGACAGTGTAGGGAGCAACAGCTCCGTCAGTCCAGTTCTCAGCGTCCTTGCAGACGTTCACGTTAAAGGAACCCCTAGACAAAAACGTTCTTCCAATCCTTTACATAGTGCGCACCGAAGTCGGCGAACAGAGTGTCGTAAAAACGGTCAGCGTTGCTGTAGACACACAATGGAAGTTGTGTTCAAGGAATTGGAGGGATTCGGCTTCATTCTGGAGCCGAAGAGCTTCGACGCCGGGTACTGCAAGGGGCGGTGTCCGCCCCGATATAACCCCGCAAACCACCATGCGTTACTACAGAGCCTCATCTGGAAACAGGACCGCGATCGAGCCCCCAGACCTTGCTGTGCTCCCAACAAACTCACAGATCTCGAGGTCCTACATATGGATGACAAAGACTCCACGAAACTCAAAGTGTCCAAGTGGAAGGACATTGGCGTTCTTGAGTGCGCGTGTTCCTAAACTACTTTCTATTCCTTATGTACTTCATTTGACGCTTTGAACAATGAATGGAGTATAAACTTGTTCGCAGCTAGAAATCTAGCGATCTCTACCAAAGAATTCGGCATAGTGTCGAATGTATTTAACAACTGTGCAACTCGTTGTATAAAGTTGGAGACGGATTTACCGTCTGTATGTGTTACGGGTTTCAGTCATCACGTTGCTGACAGACGAACTTAAGTTTTAAACCTCGTTATGTGTAATTGAGCACGTACTAAGGAATTCCAGGTGACATTTTGGAGCCTCGAAATGTATCCAGTTCCAGTCTGATTCCATGGCTACGGAACTTTTTCACATCCAATAATGCTCAAGAGACGTAGTGTCGCTTTCTTTGTTTCACTAAATGTTTTAGAGTTCCATAACTGTGATATCAATTAGATACGCTTTCAAACAAATCTCTGTGCACCGTGGATAACCGAGGGCTTATTTATTCATTCATCACCATCTCGTCACTGCCTCCTGCATCCACGTAACACTCATCTCTGTAAAAAGACAATGTCCAGGCACTTCGGTATCAATGCTGAATAATATCTGCACAATACCGTGGCCTTTGTTTCGGTTTAACCTCAATCTATGATGACTACATTAATTGTCTGTTTAACTAAACGGTGTTGTGTTGTTCGGTATATGTCAAAATGTTAAAAAGAAATTAACGTTACATCACTCAGCAGCCATCATATGTGCTTTCTAAGTAACGACGTTTGCTGTAATATAAAATCGCTGTACGGATGCAGTAATTCCACCTAAGATTTCTACTTCAAATTTTCCTTTGAAGTATAGAATATTTCACCATGATCCATAGTTCCTATAGTGTGCGAGTGATTGCATGAGTGTTACTGCATTGACATGTCGAGTGGAGGGTGAAGAGACTGATCACATCTTCAAGCATTTTCAATTCATTCAGGAATCGGATTACAAAATTATACACATTGTTATGGTTCTTAAAAATGTGCTCGATATACACTACACACTCCGTGGTGTGTAATTCAGAAATATAGTATATTTTAATGAATTTAGAAATTTGGACCAGAACGTTTCATTGTATCAAAAATTTTAATGTCCTTTCTTAGGTTGTCTGATATACAGACACCAGGAAATGGAATGCATGCTCTGACCGACTTCGAGAACGATCGTCTGTCCCCTATGATCACCGTTCAGAAATTAAATATAATATATTATTATCGAAAGAAATAAAAGTGTTCTGGTATAGAATTTCAGCAGGAATACTATTTACATATTGAGTATGTGTTTCCAAAACCAAAGTTTGTGATAAAATTGAACGGAGTTTCAAAAAGCAAATGCTTTATGTTGTGTATTCAATAATTCAACACTTAGACGTTCGTGTGTTACTCAGGTTTGGTCAGAGTGAAAGTAGTAAGGAGCTGAACTATACTGGTGGCTCTTTACACCATTTTACCCACAATCTAAATTCTGGCTATGTGCCTGTTTTTTGTCTTTGTACACGATTACTTATCAGAACTTTGGTAACAGAGACTCCAGATGCTTATAGGAAAGTAACGTATGTTTCACTTAGTGACTTGTATGAAAACAATACTGAATACACTAAACGAAACAATTTTGACATAATTCTTCCCTTTCCATAATAGTTATAAAATTTAACATGGATACTGAATTCCAGTCATGTGAACTAGGTACTAAGAGCACATCGACCGATACATTCAGAACTGATGCAAGTTCATATGAAATTTGGATTTGTATAATATTTTTAAATTATTACAGCAAAAAATTATACCTAATATTTATTCCAGTATGTCCAAGATATGAAACTATCTGTTGTGATTATCTGCTTTGTTTCCAGAGTTCTGGTGTTGATATTAGCCAGTAATGATATTAGTGCATCTCTTGCCATTTCTGTGACTTGAAGTCTGTATTGTAAACATGATTTTTACAGTTGGAAACCGGAATTTTGCTACATTTGAGCAGAACTCATCTTCTGATGGGATGTAGACTCCGAGACTGTACCATAATATTCCTCCCTCCTTGTATGGCTTGTTTTTCTACGATATTTAAAATGTGTTAGTTACGATAATATGTATTACATTGACGTTATATTTATTTTAATAAATTATTGACTGATAAGAAATTGTTTATTGAACAATGATGATGTGTTTCATTTGCAATTATATTAATGTTATTTCCTCATTCATTCTATTCCTGACAGTAATCCTAAGAGTTCTTTAATTATCCGGTCTTGTGTTAATTGTTCACGTGTAAGAAGAAAGAGATTACAAATTCACTGGAACATAATTACAAATATCTGCTATCATAGTTTTCCAAGCTACAATTTTCCTGCATAATTTTCAATATTAAATGATTCCTTGTAGTTCATTGCCTTCCAGAATATTACTCCCATTTTTACTTTGCTCTTATTACGTCACATCGCACGAAAACAGTGCAATGTATGTATGTGATCATTTGAATTCAGTTGAAGTCATACAGTCTATGCTTGTCTAAATGGAGTTTCCGACGACGAAGAATTCAAGCGTTGTTCAATCGTGAATTTGTATGAGAAGTTAAAATCTCAGCTTTTTTTTTTCCTTGGCACTACAGCCCAAGTGGGCCTAGGCCTACCTCCATGAACTTCTCCGTTCACTTCGGTTTTTCTAGATCTTACTCACTCGGTAGGGCTCCTTGGGCGGGTGATCAGCTCGTCGCAAGGTCTCTACCTGTACACAAACACAGAAAATCGCACACACAAACTAAACATCCATGCCCTGAGTGGGATTCGAACCCACGATCCCGGTTTCCAAGCGAGCGAAGACAGTACATGCCTTAGACCGCTCGGCTACCGTGACCGGCTAAAATCTGAGCTACTCCAATGAATAAACGTTTTCTCTTTTAGCCAACTTCACTTCTTTTTAAAAATAAAGTAAACTTATGAAATTACCACGCTGTCTGTGCAACTGTTTGTCCGTGTATCCCACCTATCATCTTTTGAATGCCTGAACTAGTCTTTACGAAACTTGGTATGTATATCATGGCAACTAAGCCCATCTTAGGAGCTTAATTCATATATCCTTCTCGTCAGCCTGTGTATTTGTATTGGACACATGCATGTTTTTAAATTAGAGCCGTATATTCAAGATATGAAATTATCAACCGTGATTATCTGCTTTGTTGCTAGGCGGTCCGTGTCACAACAAAGGAAAGTAAGTGGTTAGTTCTTCCCAGAACTTCCTTTTTTACAGGTGAAATTTCCCAAAGCATTTTTCATTTCGTTGTTCTCCATTTAAAGTCAGAAAGAAATATGGTTGCAGAAATGCAACACTGAAAGTGACGTTCAACGTGGAGATTAAATTTATGAATCCCTCGCCTCATTTTGCAGAAATTAGATCTAGGTAGCACAAAACACTAGTGGAATACCCAAAAAGAATGTCAGTTCTCTCAAATCAGTTATAAGTAATCCCGTTAACATAGGCTACTGAAGTACAGAAAACAATAATTTCGTAATAAATACCCACAACACCCTGTGATATTCTCCCAAGAATTTTAACTGTACACGTATGTTAAGTATTCTAGCACTACTTAAAGATTTTAAAGATGATTCAGAACCTTCAAATCCAATGAAACAAGAACTGAAAGATAGCTATGTGTTAATCTTTTCAGATTGTGGTGATCTGTGTTACGGAACACAGTATTCTTGTACATGGTGTCACAGAAAAAGATACAATTAAAACTTTTCCCGCCATGAAAACCCCAGAACTCGCATGTGCTTTAAATTGTCAGTAGTCTTTAATGTTCCTTAAATAAACTTTACTACATTTCAAAAAATTAAGGACATATTCATACAATTCTGACTTATGAAGAACAACTATAACTGTTATAGTTCAGGGGTGTCACTTTGCGACGTTCTCAGTATTGCATCGAACTGAAGGATGCCTGATTAATCTTGAAAGGTAAAGGATTTTCAAGGAAGCCATCGTGGTCTATTTGAGTACATGGCCGCAGGTAGGGGTGGGAAGCAAGGCCTCTTCCCCCTGAATTAAGAAATAATTGAATTTGAAAAGAAGGAAGAATCGCGCAGGATATTAATAATTACAAATTACGTGTTGAAACCCTTTCTTCCATTCTGACTACTTTAATGCTATCGGTTAAATAGTCATAAAGAGCTTAATCGTGAGTCTGTGGGCAATTTTCTGCCTACCCCCACCCTTGAAAATACGGCTGTTCATCGTTTTTGGGAGGGTCTGGCGGCTCACATATAGACGTAATATCTCGGAATTTGCTTGAAGGGACTGAACATAACCTCAAAAATCCTAAGTTAGGATAAATGTTGTCCCGACAAAGATTCGAAAGGAACATCTCCCAAATACGGTTTTAGATAAAATTCGAATCATCATGATCATTGAAAAAACAGAACTGCTTTAGTCATAGCCTCCCTTAGAAGATTCTAAGAGATTTAATCAGGTTTTCAATTCTTTGGAATTCGTATTTTTTTTTCTGGGCAAGTTCTTTAGCCTTGCGTCCAACCTCCAATCCGGAGGACTAGATCTCTGTGGCCTGATTATACCCCAAGCACTGGGTTCCCTTTTCGTCGCCTTCTACGACTCGCAGGGCTACGGTGGAGGTATTCGGTTCCGTCTCCACACAGGAATGGAATTCTGTTACTTCTAGGTAAGTGTGAGGATAATTAGGTCAAGGGACATTGATAATACAGCTCAAACTGAGTTAAGTAAAATCTCCTAACATACAACAGGACACTGCGTGGAACTGCTAACCATACTACACGCAACGACGAGTCATGTGTACGTGGTTTGATCCGTTTCCGTCAACTTCAGTTACCAATGGTTTATCTGTTGACAGTTGAAACCTTACTTGCGAACGAAAGGGATAATCTCTGTACCACTCATATACTTTGAAGATGGATGTAGTACGTTTCGTCGAAAAGTCAATGAACTTCTACTTGACAAAACACCATCACATACAAGAAAAAAATATTTTTCGGCACAATTCTTGCTTTTACTTTTAAAATGTTCGAATTTAGAAGTGAAAATTAAATTTTGGGTCTATACCAAAACCTGACAGGTAACCCAATGATGCTATTAGTGTCAACACTTGCAGTAAAATAAAACCAACCATTTGGGTGAATTTTATTGCCACTATTGATATTAAGATTACAATATTCTGAGATGTGGCTCTGTGTTTGGTAAATTGATACCAACGTTTCAGAGGAAGCACTGAACCAATTTTCAGCATACGTATAAGCCCAGTGGTTAAACTAGTACGTAATACACGGAAGGCCAATTGCGGTGTCCGCGCGGCCTAAGGCAACAACTGTTTTCGCCCCGCTCGAACACTGGGGTTGTGGGTTCAAACCCCACGGGAGGCATGGATGTTTGTCTATTTTTATTCTGTTCATGTTGTCTTGTGCAGGTAGCAGTCTTGCGACGAGCTGATCTCCAGTCCAAAGAATCCTGCCGACTGTCTAAAAATTAAGAAACAGAATTGCTAAGAACTGTTTCGTGAATTCCCTCTGCTCTAGAGTGAGCAACAGGAATATGAATGAATACAGAGAAGGGAGATTTGGGATCGCATCTATGAGCAAGCCAATGAGAACATATTCCCCAGAAAGGACTGTTTCCTCCAAAATATTGGTACTTATCTACCAAACTGCACTGCATCACATCCCAGAAAACTGCAAACTTAACACTCACCTCAGGTAGAACCTCTAGTTCCACAGTACTAAATTACGTATAATGTAAGTACAAGTAATGTCAAAAAACTAAGTTTGGGTGCGACGAAATGATTACCCAGAACAGACATGGGAACGTTTGTAATATTGTATAATATGGTATCGCAGCATCCTTTTGCAATTCACTTATTTATTCCTTGTTACTTACTACCCGTCTTACACGTAACTTGCTTTTTATAACTTTAAAGAACTTTAAAGAAAGCTCATTCTTACTCTTTCAACGGTATGGCTCCTAAGTTATTTGAATACGTACTTCACACCGAATAAATACACATCGGTTATTTCGTGTCTAGTGGAATGTGTTTATGGTTTTTTTACGGTGGACTGAAAAGGACATATTAGGAATCAGTTGCCTGGATGAATTGACGAAATCCATGAGCGATAATAATCAGTACAGCTGCAGCCGAGGTTTGAAACTGTTGCCTTCAGAATGCACGCCCGACCGTTCTCCTTGTAGTGAATGCTCGATGACAATAATTCTATTCGATCGTTTCTTACTCTGCTAAACATCTCCACAAATATAACAATTCTAAAGGCGCGTCCACATTCCTCGTGCTCGTGTGACTCGCAATGTTCGCGAGTAATGTGGACGATACGACAGGTCACGAAACAAGCAAATTTAAAATTTTTAATTTAAAAACTATAGTCAATAAATTAAAATACGACTACAGCCTATACACACTACGAGTAAATATACGGATCCTCACGCGCCGAAGCCTGGTGAGCAACTGAAGTAGTGTGGACGAAGATTTAAGAGCACGAGTAAAGGTCAGACGAGTTTCCCGACGAGCACAAGCCTGGCGAACACGAGCACGAGCACGAGCACGAGAAATGTGGACGCGCCTTAAGAGGTATGAAGTATGATTATGAGGGGTGAGACATAAAAATGGCCCTTGCACTGCGACCTTCAAAGATCTATTGTGCTTCCCTTTTGGATTAAACCTTTATTAATCCTACAATTCGAATGAAATGTAGGACTTGATTTATGGGGGCGTCTTGGGCCGCGCCATAGCTCACCTGTTAGTCGCTGGCTTCCCACCGCGGCGGCCCGGGTTCGATCCCGGGTCTGTTCAAGTGGGATTTTTGGTGGACAAAGTGGCGCTGGAGCAGGTTTTCTCCAAGTACTTCGGTTTCCCCTGCCAATCTTCATTCCAACATATTGTTCCACAATCACCCTAAACTATCATCTGTGGCTGGTACAATAGGCCAGAAGTGGCCGCAGTACAAGGGACATAGTCCCACCCCACTACCAATAAAAAAAATGGGGGCGTCATAAAAATCACTTGGTTCCAGGAAGTATTGACCCAGGTGGCGATTCTAAGAGGTAATCATAGTTCTTTGGGTTTGAAGATGTACTTTAATGCTCCAAGATCACGACTGGCCGTGTTCAAGAAGTCCACCATTGGTTT